CAGTTACTGTAAACTGCAGTTACTGTAAACTGCAGTTACTGTAAACTGCAGTTACTGTAAACTGCAGTTACTGGTAACTGCAGTTACTGTAAACTGCAGTTACTGTAAACTGCAGTTACTGTAAACTGCAGTTACTGTAAACTCCAGTTACTGTAAACTGCAGTTACTGTAAACTGCAGTTACTGTAAACTCCAGTTACTGTAAACTGCAGTTACTGTAGGACTCTTGCAGTAAACTGTTAGGCAGAAATATAGTCTTGCTGTCTCTGCTGAGCCGCTTTACACTGGGAGAAATGTGGTAGTCTTTGTCTAAATAGTGATCAACTGTTTACCTTCGTATGGGTCATCCTGACCCAGTTTGGCTCTGCCAATAAGGCAAATCTGAGCTACGTCCGATCTCTGCTCGTGTTGTTGGTAAGAAAGTGTATTATTATTTGGACAATATGCCTCATTCATTTTTCTGACTGTCAAGCGTTCAAGAACAAAAGCCCAACGAGAAAAAAAATCGTGGCTCATTTTTATTTTTGCTGAGAAGGCACCATATTATATTTTTTTATCAAGTGAATAAAATTTTAATGTTAATCTTGCGGATAATAATTTTTTCTTATTGTGAAATAATTGGGATTTTAAAATGCCGCTTAGTTTCCGTTGATCCGCGCCAGTTTTTGCCGGCTGAAAAAAAACACATTTTCTAATTTTGCTGTGTTTTTTTTTCTTTCCATGCATCCCCATTATTATTAAAGTTTTTCATCAAAAATATTGCTAAAATTCTACTCTAGAATCCTCTTGAACTCTGGCTAGTTAATGCTTTCAAATTGTTCACTTTTTAATCAACAGTTCAGCGTATTCAAGCTGAAAAAATATGAAAATAAGAAAAAATGCATGTGTGCGTTAAAAGATAAATATATTTCGTATATTAAACCATTTTTCGTATTTTTTTATAAATGAATATTTATTTCTTATAAACATACTGTATATGTGTGTTAATAGATATATATCTTTCGTATATTAAACCTTTCATCACCCCTTTTTATACATGAATATTTATTTCTATAACAGTACACGTACATGGCGTGCGTACGTACATGTACGCAATACGAGCTTCTGGCGTCACGCGCCGTGGCGAGCCTAAAGACGCGCGGCTACCGAGGCGTCATCCCCGTAGGAATAACACAGAAAGAGATGAAATTTCATGCTTTGAATATTGACGTGTCTAACACTCAACGATCCTCGTAGGAATAACATGCAAAAGGCAATGATAATGTAGCTAATTATGCTGATCAATGCGTGGCCATTCGCCGTAGGAATAACAAGAGAGCGCATTTTCTCGTCGACGAAAACGTGAAGTCACGGACAGACAGACCGACAGACAGACGGACAGACGGACGGACATGACGAGCACAATAGCGCCTTTTTTCCATAAATGAGAAAATGCGCTAAAAGGGAAAGTAATCCTATTTGGAGACGGGACGCTCCGAATCAATACATGAAACCGGGAGTAGTTTCGTTCAAAAAAAATGAAATGAATTAATAAGAACGAAGTTTTAATCAAGGAAACAGAGACTAAAGGAAGCTGTGTAATGGAATAAATATTAAACTGAATGAACGTAGGAATTGAATGTAAGGAATTGATGAATAAATTGTAGGATAAACTGAGGGATAAACTGAAGGATAAACTGAAGGATAAACTGAGGGATAAACTGAAGGATAAACTGAAGGATAAACTGAAGGATAAATTGAAGGATAAACTGGAAATAAACTGAAGGATAAACAATGATAAACTATGATAAATTGAAGGATGAGCTGAAAGATAAAATGAGGAGCGATAAATTGTAAAATAAACTGAAGGATAAACTGTAGAATAAAATGAACGTTAAACTGAAGGATAAACTGAAGGATAAGCCGTAGGATAAACTGAGGGCTAGACTGAATGATAAAATGAAGGATAAACTATAGGATAAACCGGAGGATAAACAGAAGGATAAACTGTTGGATAAATTGAAAGATAAACTATAGGATAAACAAAGGATAAACTGAAGGATAAACCATAGGATAAACCGAAGGATAAACTGTTGGATAAACTGTAGGATAAACTGAATTTTAACCTAGAGGATACACCGAGGATAAACCGAAGGATAAACTGTAGAATAAACTGAATTATAAACTATTGGATACACCGGAGGATAAACCGAAGAATAAACAATAGGATTTACCGAAGGATAAACTGTAGGATAAACTGAAGGATAAACTGGAGGATAAACTGAAGGATAAACTGAATTACAAACTATAGGATACCCCTAAGGATACACTGAAGGATACACGTACCCCTGTGCGAGGACATAATGTCGCTTGTGGCGGTGCAGACAGTCCCCCCAGCCGTGGACGGCGGTGTGGGCGATGGTGATCATGGAGTAGGTGACGCCCCCCAAGGGGGCGGCCGCCCCGCTGGACAAGGGGTCGTGGGGGCTCGTGATGGCCTGGGTGGCCCACACGCCCTGGACCTCTCCTGGGAACAGGCAGGGCCGGGCCCCACGCACCCCTGCGTCGGGAGGAAATAATGATATTATATTATCATGATAATTTTATTAATTAGAATATTAGATAATAATGATAATATATGTTATAATGATGATGAAACACACGCCCAGGACCTCTCCTGGGAACAGGCAGGGCCGGGCCCCACGCACCTCTGCGTCAGGAGAAAATAATGATAACCGTTAGTCATAATGATGAAATGATAAGAAATAATAATATTCGTTAGTCGTAATGATGAAATGATACGAAATAATAATATTCGTTAGTCATAATTATGAAATGATATGAAATAATAATATTCGTTAGTCATAATGATGAAATGATATGAAATAATAATATTCGTTAGTCATAATTATGAAATGATATGAAATAATAATATTCGTTAGTCATAATTATGAAATGATATGAAATAATAATATTCGTTAGTCATAATTATGAAATGATATGAAATAATAATATTCGTTAGTCATAATTATGAAATGATATGAAATAATAATATTCGTTAGTCATAATTATGAAATGATATGAAATAATAATATTCGTTAGTCATAATTATGAAATGATATGAAATAATAATATTCGTTAGTCATAATTATGAAATGATATGAAATAATAATATTCGTTAGTCATAATTATGAAATGATATGAAATAATAATATTCGTTAGTCATAATTATGAAATGATATGAAATAATAATATTCGTTAGTCATAATTATGAAATGATATGAAATAATAATATTCGTTAGTCATAATTATGAAATGATATGAAATAATAATATTCGTTAGTCATAATTATGAAATGATATGAAATAATAATATTCGTTAGTCATAATTATGAAATGATATGAAATAATAATATTCGTTAGTCATAATTATGAAATGATATGAAATAATAATATTCGTTAGTCATAATTATGAAATGATATGAAATAATAATATTCNTGGCAGAGCAGCATGGCAGAGCAGCATGGCAGAGCAGCATGGCAGAGCAGCATGGCAGAGCAGCACGGCAGAGCAGCACGGCAGAGCAGCATGGCAGAGCAGCACGGCAGAGCAGCATGGCAGAGCAGCATGGCAGAGCAGCACGGGAAAATGCGATTCTCTTACGTGGGAAAAAATGCAAATTTTTCCCACGAATTCAGAATTTCACGCACCGTATTTTCAGAGGGAGAGACCCTGAGGTTCAGCGGAGGTCAAGTATTTACGAAAGAAAAATGTTCGTGTGCTTAAATAAAGAAATCGTGACGTTAAACAGGGGAAATCGTGATGTTACACAGGAAAAATTGTGATGTTGAATAGGAAAAATCGTGACGTTAAACAAGAAAAATTTTGACGTTAAACAAGAAAAATTGTAACGTTAAATAGGAAAAATTGTCATGTTGAACACGAAAAATCGTGACGTTAAACAGGAAAAATTGTGATGTTGAATAGGAAAAATCGTGACGTTAAACAGGAAAAATTGTGACGCTAAACAGGAAAAAATCGCGACGTTAAACAAGAAAAATTGTGACGGTAATCAGGGAAAATCGTGTGGTTAAATATACAATTCACTTGACGTGAAATTCGAAATAATTTTTGTACGGCAACGGAAAGGCTAAACAGGTTACGTAGACTTTGAATGATATGACATTTTTTATTAATCTAAATAATCTGGTTTTTCATAGGCCAATATTTATAATCCTGCTGAAATTAATTATTTGCCCGTCACTGGGTGAGTACAGGTGACACCCCTCACCCGTCACTGGGTGACACCCCTCACCCGTCACTGGGTGACACCACTCACCCGTCACTGGGTGACACCACTCACCCATCACTGGGGGAGTACAGGTGACACCACTCACCCGTCACTGGGTGGCACCACTCACCCATCACTGGGGGAGTACAGGTGGCACCACTCACCCGACACTGGGTGGCACCACTCACCCGACGTAGAGTCGCTGCTGAACGCGAGGTGTATGCGTCCGGTGCTCGTTTCTTCTCTGTACATCTGCCCATGAACTCCATTTAAACATTAAAGTTATTACATTTCACCTCTTAACCGAAACCGTATTTCAATAAATAACTACGGCCTCCCAAAAAAATCCTCAATATAAGCTAAACTCTATTATTCCCTGCTAATATTATATATTTACTAATAATAAGATTGTTTATATTTAACGCTAGTAAGGGAAATAAAGCCGAATATTTGAAAATTTGCAGTTGAAACTTCAAAAGTTGAATCAAGTTTCAAAGTTGGACGACAACAAAATTTGTGAGTTGAAGTTCATTAAGTAGAAAAAAGTTATAGGTATCTCTTATAGTCAATAAGTCGGACCTTATTAATTAAAAATTTAACGCTAAATAATTTTAAATTTAGAAACGCTACATCTCGTGAACTTAATTTAAATAATAATATTACCAGATTAGTTGAAGTTAACACAAAATCCTGATAAAATAGATTTATTTACATTCATCCCACCATTTATCATTTTAGTTATGGGATAATTCAAATAAACGAGATTTATTAATAATATTGAACTTATTTCATTAATTGAAAATTAAAAATTCAACAAAAATATTATATAATATTATACATCTGAGGTTAATAATATTATATACCTATTTGTACCTATAATAATATATAATATTATATAAAAAACATGAACTTAACACGACGAATTTGGACAAGTTGACTCACAGCGCAGCGGTAGCGGGGGCCGGGGTCGGCGCCCCCCACGGAGGTGTCCAGCACAGCCATGTAGTGCTGCCCCCCCGCCCCCCGCCAGCCCCCCAGACACTGCAGGGCCAACTCTGCCACACCATAAACAATTTATTAATAAATATTTGACATAAATTATGCTTGTGTCTCAAAATGGAAGTTACAACAAAGCAACGTTCGGAATTTTGATTTACTGTCTACTTCATTTTATCAAACACAAGTATATGGTATCTACCATATCAGAATTGAAATTTACTATCTAAAACTTCATATAGATGGTAAATAATTTCAAGGAACTATAGTAACAAAAGGTAACTAAACTAATAATGAATACCTATATCAAGTTATGGGCCATAGACGACGACTGCCACTCACTCACTCACTCACTATTTTCACTGCCACTCACGAGAAAATATTCACGGTCAACTACCACATACGAACGGCCACTCACGGTCAGGCTGGCCGTAGGCACAGTCCCGGTAGTGGACGTTGAGGCCGAAGCCGTACGGGCAGTTGCTCATCTCAGAGGTGGGGCGGGGGCACAAAACCCCCCCGCCGTCCCTCCCGTGGGGGTCGTGGGGGTCATCAAACCCGTGCCCCACTGTGGGCTTGCCCCGCTCGTAGGTGAAGGTGAAGACGCCGCTGATGGGGCACTCGACCTCCGCGATGGACTCATCGCCCCACGACGACTTCACTTCTAAGAGGTACACAGAATTTACTTGATCAGATCAATTGGCTACACATTCGAGCAAGTAAAATGACTAATAGGGCCCAATTACAGCGGCTAAATCAAAAACTTGGCACTAAATTTAAGCGTAATAGATAATTGAAGAGAGGGGGGTTCAAATGTTATTGGTCCCGGCGTCAGTGGCTCCAGCTCAGGCCGGAGCCAACTCACAACCGCTGTTGGGTCTCTCCAAAAATCCACGGTGTTGAGGACCGAAGGGTGTTGGATTGTTAGGGTAGTTGAAGATGTGGGGCATATCATCCAGGAAGAGATGACTAGCTGCATAAGTTACTAAATTAAGCTTATTGTAGATTCTACCTTTGTAGCTGTTCAGGAATGTGCAGTGCCCGCCAGCGTCCGTCTTGCGATATTGGAAGTGGTTGTTCGCATATGTTGTCTATTGTTGGGCACGTGGAACGAATCGATGACAGCACGGGCGACGTTTCAGTGAAAGGTGTTATAATAGCTGTTTTTAACGTTGCAAAACAAGTGAACAACACTGATGTATTTGGTGCATAGAGTGTTTTATGTTGCGAGGTTGGTAGTCGGAAGTCCGGTCTTTTGGTTTGGAAGTGGCATGCATGTTGTGGATTGTGATATTGTAGAAGGTATTGGGAGGAGAGGAGATCTACGTGTTGACGGTGAGTATCTGACATTTAAAATGAAGGCGTTGTTCAGCAGTTTCATTTAGTCGTTTGATACTCGGCTTGTGTTTTGATGTATATTGGCAGGTGGTCAGATGGTAGAAAGGTCGTGTTGGTTCACTCGATGTGGGTGATCAGAGTCGGAAGGGATCGAAAGTTCTGGCGGAGATGGTTGTGCGGCGGTTGCATGGTAGCCGAGTAAGCATCCCATTTCAACTGGGATAACTTCAACTTTCAACTGGATTTCAACTGGAAGATCTCCGCGCGTGTCCCGGATGCTCGAGTTACAGAGCGGGTTGTACGGGTTAATTAGCACCAGGGACTTCAATATTAAGAGATGAGTAATTGAGGCTTCAAGTTTGGGATTCAGGGGTATTGAGGAGGGATGAAGACGTTAATGATGTTAAGATCAGTGTTATTGGCGTTGAGGATGATAGCTTGTTGTTCTATTGTATTGTGGTCAGGTAATGACTCCACTTTAAAAGGAATACTGTTGTGATCAACATCTTCATAAAGCCGCCTCGTCCTGTCCTCCGATATTTTCGGCAGGAGGTGCGAAGTTGGCAAATTTCGGGTCTTTGGAGCGGGGACATTTCTGTTCCGCTACCTAGATGCTTTGGATGGGCATGCAGAAAGTATTTTTTTTTTGTCAGATTTATTCCGTATTCCGTTGCAATTTAATTGGAGAAGAGTTTTAGTAGTTTCACCTTATTCAAGATCCATCATCATCTTATTAAAGCTTCATCAAGGCTAGGATTCATTTTATTCAAGAGCGGTGTTGTTTGTTGAGCTGTGGGTGCCAGAGCAGGCGGGCGGGCTTTGGGTGTCCGGACAGCGGGTTGGGTAAGAGTTGATGGAGGGGACTTTGGTCAGTTGTTTCATAGAATTGCTGACCATGTCCCAGTTCGCTGACCATGCGACCAATTGTTGCTGACCATGCATATATGTAGTACCACTTGAAGCAAGTGCAGCGCATAGAGTGATGCGTTCTGTTGATGGCTTTGCTACAAACTTAGCATATCCAATTTCTCGAGCGGATTGATTCGAGCCATTCGACGAAGGATACAGAGCAGACAGACCGGAAAAAGCGGGCCCAAACGCGATCAATTATAGAGTAGAGGCTCAATTCAGTAGTAGGGGCTTAAATTAACGGGTATATCTAAATAAAATCCCAGGTTTCAATTAGCGCTCAGGGTCTCAAGTAGACGCGTGGGGGCTCAATAGAAACGTACATGCGTTATATTGGTTCAAACACTTAAAAGTTAAGAATTCAGGAAATTCCCCTCAGCAAGAATTCTTGGAAAATAATGAAAAAATCTAAATTTAAAAGAGAAAGCAATTCGCAAAACAATTTCGAATAGAAATATTGCAGGGAAAAGAAAACTGTGCGCTATTCTTCCCTATAGAGTCAGGATAATGCACAGAGCACAGCTCATTCTCAGCACAGATTATACAAGCACAGCTCAGTGCCTGTAGATTACACAGCAAGCACTCACTGTACAGCCCAGCACTCACTGTACAGCACAGCACTCACTGTACAGCCCAGCACTCACTGTACAGCACAGCACTCACTGTACAAGATAATCAGAGGCGGCGATCCATCGTGGCCTGGGACTGCTATGTCCCAAACAAATACTAAGGATACTAAGGATACATCACAGCACTCACTGTACTAAGGATACATCACAGCACTCACTGTACAGCACTCACTGTACAGCACTCACTGTACAGCACTCACTGCACAGCACTCACTGTACAGCACTCACTGGATGGTGGGTACTAAGGATACTGTACAGCACTCACTGTACAGCACTCACTGTACAGCACTCACTGTACAGCACTCACTGTACAGCACTCACTGTACAGCACTCACTGTACAGCCCAGCACTCACTGTACAGCATCTGTTGTTCGTACTCCAGGCGCACAGCCTCGAGTTCGGCGCGTAGTTCCTCGTCCGACAACTGCTCGCCGTGTCGCCGGTTGCTGGTTGGGTTGTGGTGGTGGTTGTGGTCGCCATCTTGTTGCAGGTACTCGTGGTGCTGGTGGTTGAGTACCTCAGGGCACGAGTCACGTGCCTCCTGCACCGTATGGTAGCACCTACCACCTCGTCTTGTGGTTACCACCACCACATTAGGTGACACCACTAGCAGGTGCAAGCAGCGGTGACATTGCCTGCGTGCGACAGAAGAATTTTTTAATTACGTTCATGGTGGAGAATTCAATGAAATTTAAACAGGAATTTCGGAGAATTTAATGGAATTTAAACAGGAATTTCGGAGAATTCAGTTAAATTTAAACTGGAATTTCGGAAAATTCAATGAAATTTAAACAAGAATTTAAGAAAATTAAGTTTAATTTAAACAGGAATTTCGGAAAATTCAATATTTAAACAGGAATTTCGGAGAATTAAATTAAATTTAAACAAGAATTTTGGAGAATTCAATGAAATTTAACATGAATTTCAGAAAATTCAATGAAAGTCAAACAGGAATTTCAGAAAATTTAATGAAATTTAAACAGGAATTTTTGAGAATTCAATGAAATTTGAACAGGAATTTCGGAGAATTTAATAGAATTTAAACAGGAATTTTAGAAAATTTAATGGAATTTAAACAGGGATTTCGGAAAATTTAATGAAAGTCAAACAGGAATTTAAGAAAATTCAATGACATTTAAACAGGAATTTCGAAGATAATTTAATTAAATTTAAACAGGAATTTCGGAGAATTAAGTTTAATTTAAACAGGAATTTCAGAGAATTCAATGAAATTTAAACAGGAATTTCAGAGTAGGTAGTAAGTTTAATTTAAACAGGAATTCCGGAGAATACAGTGTAATTTAAACACGAATTTCGAAGAATTAAATAAAATTTAAACAGGAATTTCGTAGAATTCAATGGAATTTAAACAGGAGTTTCGGAAAATTTAATGAAATTTAAACAGGAATTTCGAAGAATTCAATTAAATTTAAACAGGAATTTCAGAGAATTCAATGATATTTAAACAGGAATATCAGAAAATTCAATGGAATTTAAACAGGAATTTCGGAAAATTTAATGAATTTAAACAGGAATTTCAGAAAATTCAAGGAATTTAAACAGGAATTTCAGGGAAATCAATTACATTTGAACATGAATTTCGGAAAATTCAATGAAATTGAAACAGGAATTTCACAGAATTCAATGAAATTTAAACATGAATTTCAGAGAATTCAATGAAATTTAAACATGAATTTCGGAGAATTCAATGAAATTTAGACAGAAATTTTGGAAAATTTAATGAAATTTAAACAGGAATTTCGGAAAATTAAATTAAATTTAAACAGGAATTTTGGAAAAGTCAATAAAATTTAAACTGGAATTTCGGAGATTTCAATGAAATTTAAATAGTAATTTTGGAGATAATTAATTAGTGGGATACCCGAGTGCCTTTAATGTGACCAAGTATCAGATTTAAATTAAAATGATGCTATGTAAAACTGCGGGATACCAGAGTCCCCGTAGGAATACCAGAGCCCCGTAGGAATACCAGAGTACCCGTAGGGATACCAGAGTCCCCGTAGGGATACCAGAGTCCCCGTCGGGATAAAAGAGTCCCCGTACCGTAGGGATACCAGAGTCTCCGTAGGGATACCAGAGTCTCCGTAGGGATACCAGAGTCCCCGTAGGAATACCAGAGTCCCCGTAGGGATACCAGAGTCCCCGTAGGGATACCAGAGTCCCCGTAGGGATACCACGGGATGCCAGAATCCCTCTAATTAAAGTGGAGATTGAACAAATGAGGGAAGAATAAACAGATGAGGTACAATAACATAGAATAATTAGTAATATAATTACAATACAATATATACCGTAATTGTATTGTATTAACAATATTAACAATATCATTACAACAATGTATAATATACATAGTACGCATATAGTAGCCTCTGATGGAGACGTCTTAGACATCAGACGTTGAAATGACGTTGATTAAACGTTGTGTCAACGATGTAAACTAGCAATACACGTTGTTTCAACGTCATTTCCAATAGTGGTTATGAAATAAAACAAAGTTCGACCATAAGGAATGGAACTGAATTTGTACGAATAACTGGAAACGATCGAATGCAAAATCGAAACAATGTAACTCGGTACTCACTGCAGTGAGTGACAGAGAGCGCATTTTCTCATCGACGAAAACGTGACGTCACGGACGGACGGACAGACGGACAGACGGACGGACAGACGGACGGACATGACGAGCACAAAAGCGCCTTTTTTCCATAAGTGAGCAAATGCGCTAAAAATGAAAGTAGTCCTACTTGGAGACGGGATGCGCCGAATCAAAACATGAAACAGGGAGTAGTTTCAATCACAAAAAATGAAAATGAATGAATTAGAACGAAGTTTCAAACACGGAAACAGAGACTAAAGGAAGCTTTGTAATGGAATAAATATTAAACTGAGTGAACAATGGTAAGGAATTGAAGAATAAATTGTAGGATAGGCTGACGGATAAACTGTACGATAATTTGAAGGATAAGCTGCGGTATAACCTGTAGGATAAACTGAACGATAAACCTAGGATAAACTGAAGGATAAACTGTAAGATAAACTGAATTATAAACTATAGGATACACCGGAGGATGAAGTTAAGAATAAATTGTAGTATAGTCTGAAGAATAAACTATATTATAAACTGAAGGATAAACTGAATTATAAACGATAGAATACGCCTAGGGATAAACTGTAGGATAAACTGAATTACAAACTATAGGATACACCGGAGGATAAGCTGAAGGATACAGTACCCCTGTGCGAGGACGTAATGTCGCTTGTGGCGATGCAGACAGTCCCCCCAGCCGTGGACGGCGGTGTGGGCGATGGTGATCATGGAGTAAGTGACGCCCCCTATGGGGGCGGGCGCCCCGCTGGACAAGGGGTCGTGGGGGCTCGTGATGGCCTGGGTGGCCCACACGCCCTGGACCTCTCCTGGGAACAGGCAGGGCCGGGCCCCACGCACCCCTGCGTCAGGAGGAAATAATGATAACCGTTAGTCATAATGATGAAATGATAAGAAATAATAATATTCGTTAGTCGTAATGATGAAATGATAAGAAATAATAATATTCGTTAGTCGTAATGATGAAATGATACGAAATAATAATATTCGTTAGTCATAATTATGAAATGATATGAAATAATAATATTCGTTAGTCATAATGATGAAATGATATGAAATAATAATATTCGTTAGTCATAATTATGAAATGATATGAAATAATAATATTCGTTAGTCATAATTATGAAATGATATGAAATAATAATATTCGTTAGTCATAGTTATGAAATGATATGAAATAATGAAATAATAAATAATGAAATGATAACATTCCTTAATCATAATGATGAAATAATAAGTAATAGAATAATATTATTTGTTAGTCATAATGATGAAATAATAATATGAAGATGTAATAAATAATGAAATAATAATAAATAATGAAATAATATTATTCGTTAGACACAATGATGAAATGATACTTAATATAAAATAATAATAAATAATGAAATAATAATATTCGTTAATCATCGCGGCATCATTATTATGTTAAAATATGATGAAATGTAAATAATATATTGCATGAGAAAATTACGAGAATTTCTATATAATAATTTCAAATTTTGTTAAAGCAACTAATAAGATACCTAATTACAACATCAGTAATTGATCATGATAATGAAATTTATAATATATATTGTAGGAAGTTCAATAAGAAATCTCTAAAGAGTACAATTGCATGATTAAAAATGATGTTAAACACTTTCTCGCAATTATAATATAATATCAATAACGCAGTTATTTCGTATTTTTCCCCGTCACAAATAGCGAAAGTCATGCCAGCAGCAAGTGCTATGTCACTATAAATAATACATTTATAAATAGCTATTGATAAAAACCTCTGAAACTCATCTTAAAAAATACGAATAATTATGTAAAAAAAACTAACGGACAATTTGGAATATGAAACTAGTGGAAAACTTATTACAAAAAAATTGCGAAAAATATTCCCATATTATATATAGCTTACTGAACACCTATATCGTTTGGAGCTCCGACTGAACTAATCATGGTTATTTTAATTGTGCTAAGACGGAAAGACAGACCAGTAAAATAACAGGTAAGAAGACAAAGGGACAGAATGACGGGTAAAGAGACATGTGGAAGACAGAGGAACAGACAGTTGAATAAAGAGACAGGCACGGAAACAGAAGAACAGACAGACGGGTAAAGACAGATACGAAGACTGAGGAACAGACGGTCGGGTGAAGAGACAGGTACGAAGACAGAGGAACAGACGGTCGGGTGAAGAGACAGGTACGAAGACAGAGGAGCAGATAGTAGGGTAAAGACAGGCACAAAGACAGAAACACAGAGAGACGGGTAAAGACAGGAACAAAGACAGAGACACAGAGAGACGGGTAAAGATGGCACAAAGACAGAAACACAGTGAGACGGGTAAAGCCAGGCACAAAGACAGAAACACAGAGAGACGGGTAAAGACAGGCACAAAGACAGAAACACAGAGAGACGGGTAAAGACAGGCACAAAGACAGAAACACAGAGAGACAGGTAAAGACAGGAACAAAGACAGAGACACAGAGAGACGGGTAAAGACAGGCACAAAGAAGGAAACACAGAGAGACGGATATTCTGTGAGAGGGGAAAACAGACAGACGTGAGATCGATTGATAGACTGACAGCCAGACACGGTGACAGGAGCAGACTAACCGACAGACAGGCAAACACATAGCGCTATTCAGACACGCAGACAGTTTACACCATGCACACGCAGACAATTACAGACACACAAATATGCAGACGCGCACACAATTAACCATAGATGAATTCAGTAGACAGACACACAGAACTGTGAGCACAATTAGAGAGACACGCAGACAGTTTCAGACACACAAATAGGCAGACAGGCACACATTTAACCGTAGATGAACTCAGTTAGACAGACACGCAGACAGTTTCAGACACACAAAACAGACGCGCCGACGATCAGACCGAGATGCATTCAGTTGGACAGACACGCAGACAGCGAAGTCTGCTACCGAAGATGGCACCCGCAAGCACACGCCGATGTATAAATAGCTTAGTCACCCTTGCGCTCCGCCCCCACACTTCCACGTCAGCGGTCAAGTCTATTAAAGATCGCTAAGAACAATGCCCCAAGATGCTAATGGCTCATATGTTTGAAAATATAATAATATGAACTGTATTTAGAGTCGAACTTAAAATTAACAATAAAATTAAATTAATTTCAATAGATTCCATCCACAAATTTTATACAGAACTTATTAAGAATTGAATTGATCGAAAGAAAGTTAGATAGTGTTTTAATATAAAGTGCATGACCAAAGATCGTGTTCAATCTAATACCTATTTTCAGGATTTTAAAGTTGAATAGATATACCAGCTGAATTTTTATGTACGCAATTTGATACCGCCAAACAATAAAACAGTTTGGCCAACCGCTCTAGGTATCTTGTTCAGCGTGATGCCGTTCAAATCCTATTTAACGTAAGTTTAGGTATAACATGGAAAGGAATAGTTTAAAATGAAAAGTAATTTTACATATTATTTCAAGATAAACATTGAACAGGGACAGTATACATGTACGTAAAAATATAAAACATTCCTGCACACTTTACAGCTGGGGGTGCCAAATGCCTTCAAGGGTTACACGAGAGGTGGATTTATCCATTGTAGGTACACGAGTACTCATGGTAGTTGTGGCCAGTTCAATAGCTTACATTTGAATATTATAGTATTATGATATATATTTCGCTTACATTAGTCAGGTAATTAAAAAATTAAGTGTTGGAGGATTACTTTTATAGCATCCATAACATCATGAGCCGGTTACATATTGCAGTTGTTGAACATCTGGCACCGATCGGCGCCAGACTCCGCCCACTCTTTAATAAGAAGACGTGTTTGAACATGTTCAGTTTCATAGCTTTAATAATTCTAGAAGTTTCTTTTTTAAATCTTAAGTTAGGCCAATTTTTTTCACTTTTAAAGGAAATTACTTTGCTATTAATCCAGCAAATAAATTATACGGCAATTCTTAGTTCACACTTAATGTATACTTACTGGGCTACCGACATCAGCATGCCAGAGGTATGTTTTTGTTTTCAACACAGGAATTGAAGCAGTTATTTTAAACTCACGAATTGAGTACTTGAATTAGTTTTTCAAAAGTTGTGCAGGAAATTTACGTAATTTTCAATTTCTTGGTAAATAAAAAACAACTCTGAACTTTTAAGTGGGTAGCTTTGTTAATAAAATAGGTGTCGGCATCAAGTTTTGAGGAGACTCTACCATGTGGGTACAGAACAAGCTATTAGATGGTGACGTATTATAATCTAGATGGTCATAGAAGATGACCGGACAGTTACGCAAGTTCTTGCTGATCTTGGAAGTAGTTGCTTAGATTTATTATCTATTGTTGTGCGCGTGGAACGAGTCGATAACAGCTCGGTCAACGTTGCAGTGTAAGGTGTTAATGGTTGTTTTAAGAGTTGTACTGTTGATATTGATTCAGTGTGCCAGCAGAACAAGTGAACAACATTGATGTATAGAGTGTGTTATGTTGCGAGGTTAGTGGTCCGGTCTTGTGGTTTGGAAGTGGAGAGCATGTTGTGGACATTTGTATAAGATATTGGGAGAAGAGGAGATCTATGAGTTGACGGTGAGTATTGACATTTAAAATGAAAGTGTTGTTCAGCAGTTTCGTTCAGTGGATCGATTCTCTGCTTGTGGTATATTGGCGGGTGGTAGGATGATGGAGCGGTCATGTTGGTTCAGCCGATGTGGGCCATCACTATCAGGCAGTCGATGTGTGTGATCAGGCAGTCGGAGGGGATCGAAAGTTCTGGTAGAGATGGTTGTGCTGTGGTTGGGAGCCGAGTTGGCGTCTCATGTTCAGTACCGTGGTCAAAGATGCCGATTTCAATTGTAAGATCTCCGCGCGTGTCTGGGATGCGTGAGTGACAGAGCGGGTTGTGCGGGTTCAGGTCACCTAGCACAAGGCACTTCTAAGAGACGGGTAATTGAGGCTTTAAGTTCGGGAGACAAAGGTATTGAGGTGGGATGAAGATGTTAATGATATTAAGATCAGTGTTATTGGCGTTTATGATTATGGCTTGTTGTTCTATTGTATAGTGGTCAGATAATAATTCAATTGTAAACGGAATACTGTTGTGCTCAGCATCATCAGACCGCGGGCCTCGTACCGTCCTAGCTCCGATATTTTCGGCAGGCGGCGCGAACTTGGCAAATTTCGGGTCTTTGGATAGAGGGACATTTCTGTTCCGCAACCTAGATGCTTTGGGTGGGGATGCAGAAAGTATTATTTTTGTCAGATTTATTCCGTATTCCGTTGCAATTTAATTGGAGAAGAGTTTTAGTAGTTTCACCTTATTCAAGATCCATCATCATCTTATTAAA